ATCTGCACCGATGGACAGGCCAACCACGGCACCAACCATCTCGACAAAGGCATCGACTATATCCACATCAGTGGCACCGCTGCCTCAGAAACGTACTGCTTCACAGCAGTTTCTACAACGCAAGCATATAGCAGTCTCCTCGCTGCCGCAGTCACCCTTGCTCAGTACCGAGGGATCTCCGGGCCAACTAACTGAACAATTGCCCACTTCTCTGGCTCCACATCCCCTCTCCAGTGATGAAGAGGAGGAAGTACATGGGAACCGTTTCTCCTCTCAGCACTCTTCACCGATGGGACGAAGACGAACATGGGAAGCTGCTGAGACCAAATCTCTCCATCCTTGAGATGCAGCAATGGTATGGGCAACCCTGGCTGGGTCCACTGATGATCTTTGTCATGCCTTGCCCTGACTTTCAGGTTACTGTAATGTGAGCATTTTGGGGAGATATGGGTCTCCCCTAAACAACGGACACACAATGAATGGCCATCTGAGACAGGCATCACCTCACGGCAAGAGTCACATTTTTTAAATCTGGGTGAGCCAGGTATTATCTGATAAAGGTTTCCCCAATGGTGAAAGGGGAAAATTTGGCAATTAAAGAAAAATATCTCAATCTTACTAAAACAATTTTTTTAAAATAAAGAAATAGAGCTAACCTAAAGTGGAGCAGCCACAGAGACACACATCTAGAAGAACCATCGTTACTGCACATGGTGAATAACTTCTTCATATAACCCTGCTCACAGCATGACTACATGACACAAAGGTTAAAGTTAAGACATTATCATCTGCCAGTGCCTTTCTCACGCTATTGCTCTGATTGTTGATGCTGTAGCTTTTATTTAATGATTATTATTTATTATATTGGCTTAAAGCCTCACTTCAAATTGTTATTTTGTCTGATCTCCCTGTTCTGGTTCAGAAAAATCTAGGTACTGTAGGTAGTAGAGCAGTAATTCAATACGTGGCACCCTTTGCTGAGTAATTAAGGACCAAATGCCCAACATAATTTTAAGGTTCATTTTGCTAGTAGAATTATTGGCTTTCAGACAAACTAAAATAAAGGACTTGACCACTTATGAATATTAATGATTGCGTATAACTTTTTTTTTATCAATAGTGTTGGTAATTCGTGTGCTCTTTCCAAATTCCCATTACATCTGCCTACCTAAATTTCAGGTTCCAAGGTTTCAGGTTCAGCTTCCAAGCAGCTGTATGTGTGCTATTTTATGTAAATTATTTAATGAGATAATTTGCTTGATTCAGACACGTGGAAAATAATCCATTATGTGGTCCTTAGAAGGTGGGGTGGAAAAGTAAGCGCCCCAACTGGTTTGGGGGAAGAAAATTATATAAAGTGTAATCTCATTTCTCTGTACCAGCCAGGAAAGAGGTGATTCCTGGCTAGAGAACAAAGAAATAAGGTTATTGTTAGGTGGTGTGCACACATTAGCTTGCAGATCTGAATGTTCTACATCCCTCTGTCCTCAGTTCCTCTCTGCCAGCAACACTGGGTTACAGAAATAGTCTTCCCATTGTCTTTGATGCTTTTTGTCATTTTTGAAATAATATTTCTTAAAACTTCTTGTGTTTGTTTACCAGATTTTGTAGTTGAGAACTTTGTCTGCTCAGTGAGCCATAAAAAATTGTAAATCTGTAAAAAAAAAAAAAAATCCCACTCTTTTAAGAGTTGAATGTCACATGACAAGATTTGTGTCACTTGAAGACAGTCATTCTTCCAGAAAATTTGAAGTGATGGACATTTTGTAGAAAAGCAAGAAGGGATTGGGATCTGTATCAAATGCATTTCTGTCATGTTGGGATAAAGGTTTCCTGTATGCTGTTTCTCTTTCGCGTTGTGTAATAAAGGAAATGAGATAAAAGGCTATCCATATGATCTCAGTAGGTATGAAGGGTTTGACTCACCACTAGTGCCTCTTTATGGCCAGGTGTTGCTTAGTAGCTCTCTCCCTATCCGGTACCTCCTGCTGATGGTCGCTCTGGGGCTGTGGTGGTCTCCCTCTTCCTGTTACATGGCCCTCTGGCCAGGTCATTTTAAAGTCTCTCCCCTTCCAGGGCAGTTAATGAAGAGAAATAAGAGGAATTAACACAAATGAATTATCCTTAATTGGGTTAAGGCTCTCTTCTTTCAGAGGGCATTCATCTGTCTGTGGCCCTAAACCGAGTTCACATGTAATAGAGGCGAATGGTTATCTCTCCAGGAGAGTCAGCCTCTGGCCCTCCTTTCCTTCAGGAAGGGGCTGTTGGGCAACAGTCATCTGGGAAGTTCCTGCTTGCAGTTTGCCCTCTTTCCAGGAGCTGAGGACTGAAGGTCAGCTCTGCTCCCTGGTCTGCCATCAACTGACATGAGTGTCTCCCTCTTAAGCTCCTCCCTCCAATCCTAACATCTCTCATGGGTGCAATGGGGCGGAGCCACCCGAGCCCACATTAAGTCTTGAGAGAAGTGCTAGATGCTTGCTTCAGGAGGGCAGTCTGTCTCTATAGTGGGCCCTTAGCCATGCTGAGTGGTGCTGACTTAATCTAATGAGTCACTTGTGTAACCTTCCTTTCTCCTTCATAAAGTTGTCTCTTCAGCACCCAATGTAGGCAGTTAGTAAGCAGTAGCGATACCCAACTAATGTCCAGATTCTTCAGCCCTTATTCAGACTGAGCAATACTTACATGAGTAATCCCAGTTTTGGAGGAAGATAATTTAGAAGATTCTAAAGACTTTTCCAATTGTACAGCTTCTGCCTTCCCTTGTTCCCCACTTCATCATGTTCATATGATTTTGTGCAGGCAGAGGAAAACTGAGGATGCAGGCCCATTGCAACCTTCTCTAGAACATTTGGCCATGGTAGGTCAGTGTGTGTGTGCGCGCTCTTGAAGTGCTTGAAGTCATATGTGAAGATCCTATAGTCTGGATTTGTGAAGGAAGTATTTTATTAATAGTGATGATACTAGTATTCCTTTTCTCAGTCAGAGTACTTTAGTTATAGATTCTAGAGTTCGTGGCCAGAGGGGACTGTTAGATGTTCTAGTCTGACTTTGGTATATCACAGGTCATTAAATTTCACCTAATTATCCTGTATTGAGCCCAGTAACTTTTGTTTTGACCCAAGCATGTCTTCCAGAGAGACATCTAGTGTGGATTTGAAGATGTCAAGACATGGAGAATCCACCACTTCCCTTGGTAGTTTGTTCCGTTGGTTAATCCCGCTCTCTTTTTTTAAATAAAGTCTTACTTCTAATTTGAATTTTTCTAACTTCAGCTTCTAGCCATTGGTACTTGTTATGACTTTATCCACTAGATTAAAGAGCCCTTTAGTATCTGGTATTTTCTCCCCATGAAGGTACTTGTATGCTGTAATGAAGTCATCTCTCGGTCTTCTTTCTGATCAGTTAAACAGGTTGAGCTCTTAAGTTTTGCGCTGTAAGGCATTTTCTTCAGCCCCTGAATCATTTCTGTAGCTTTTTTCTGCAACCTCTCAATTTTTTCAAAATCCTTTTAAAAATGTGGACATCAGAACTGTATGTAGTATTCCAGTATTGGTCTCACCAATGCTATATGCAGAAGTAAAATCACTTCCCTACTGCTACCTACTACGCCCCTGTTTACACATCCATGGATCACATTAGCCCTTTTTTCTATAGTATTGCACTGGGAGCTCATGTTGAGTTGCTTGTCCACTCTGACCCATAAATTCTTTATTAGAATCAATACTTTCCTGGATAGAGACCCCCATTTGGTAGGTATGGCCTGCATTTCTTGTTCCTATATGTATAATTTTGCATTTGCCTATAGACTGTTTATACTATAACTTATCTGAAGCAAGAAATAACTGGCTTTAAGAAATTACCTGAATCAGCTACAGACTAAGGACTGAGTCATTTCTAAGTCTCCAGATTTGTTCCTTCATGATTGATTTCCTGCCTGAATCACAGACTACAAATAAGTCAGATACATCTCTATTCATTAAGATTATTAAATAATAGAGATATTTGGGGCATAAGTGAGAGCAGAAGATGCCCCTAAATATTTAAATATGTGAGTGTTTGAGCCTGCATTCTTTGGGGGGGAAATCCCTTCCACATGGTGACTCTTCAGAAAGAAAAAAGTAAAAAAAAAATTTCTGGTATTACATATTTTACTCATTGAACTTTTTCAATATACTTTGCTCATTTTATGTCAGTACTTCCTGAAAACTGACTATATGGGATACACCGTCATTTAAAAATGTCTTTTTGTAGAAATGACTTATAGTTCTCTAGAATTAAGGACAGTCAATATGAATTGTGTTTGAAGTGTTCAGTTCGATACAGTGGTTATTGGGGAGGCTTTATAAGAAGGCAAGTTTTAATACTGGCTAAATAAAAATGAAATAGAAAATACAGTTTCTAGGACTAATTATAATGGCTGCTGTATTGATAGCTTCAAGTGTCCAGATTTAACTATTATGCAAAGATATAGGGGTTGATTCTCCTCTCAAATGAGTTTTACTGTGGCGTAACTTCCAATGACTTTCATGGAGTTGAAGCTAATTTATCCCATGACAAGTGGAGAAGAATCAGGTTAATTTCTCTAAAAGTTCTTTACTTAACACCAGTAAATAGGTTCAAAAGCACCTTGCTACTGAACTAACATACACTGTTATAAAGCAGGCTGGTAGGTAAACTAGGAAAAATTACTTATTGTTGGCATCTAAAGCTTGAAGTACTCTGTTCTCAGTTTTTTTTTCTGTGCAGCAGGCCATAAGTAGAGCAATAACCTGTATAACACTACGTACAGATTTCCTTATATTTTAGGATACAGCAGCTGAGGGGCGGGCGGAAGAAATGTGCACATAGCCATGTGATGGCAGGGGGGGAAATCTTTTAGCTAATCCCCAGATTGGAATTTGGGCAAATGTTACTCTTTTTTAAGATTAGCATAAGTATAAGTGACAACAAGCAAAAAAGTTCATGTCGTAAACTTGATTTTACATTTTAATTTTATTCAGAGACCACGATGCAGACATCAGAGACTGTGTCGGACACAGGTTCAACAGTGACTTTACAGACATCTGTGGCTGGCCAGGCAGCAGTGCCCACGCAGGTAGTACAGCAAGTACCAGTACAGCAGCAGGTAGGTGGCTGTTAGTCTTGGAAAAAACATGAAAAGTCAAGTCACAGCTGTGCCTTTCCTCAAATATAATGAAGGACTGATTTCATATAGGTCTGCTAAATGAACTCTTCTGCCTGTTTTTATCCATTTTATTTTGCTAAAATCAAAAGAGCTACATAAAAAGACACATTGCTTCTAGGATTTATTCCTTGAATAAGATCATCAAGACATTTATCAGAGGGGTGTGTGTGTATATATATTAGTAGTAATAGATAATATAATCATGTAAAATAATAATTTAACATTAAATGATTAAATGTTCTAATTAATTTATTTGAAAAGTTAATAAGGAAAATATTTCTAATATTAATGGCCAGATTCTTCTCCCCCCCCCCCCCCTTGAATCAGTGTAAAATAAATGCAAAACGAGTATTACTTTTCACCTCTATTCTAGCCTTCCTGAAGATTCTTACACAACCCCTATGAAGAGTACTGGGCGAGGAACATAAGCAATTCGGCAGTGTTTTTCTTGTTAGGAAGTTGTATGCTAAACTCTGATGACACCATTGATTTGAAAGCCCCACTCTAGAATTCATTTCAGCAGCTGAACCTGTGCAAGATCTACAGTGTAAATTGACCTGATTTTGGGGAATAGGTAATTGGGTGCAAGAGTTGTGCCCTATATTTAAAATAGTGTCCAAGGTTTTTTTTCTCATACTTGTAAATAAATCAGAATTTTGTCATGAGTGTTTTGGGGATTGTGGATGACATTGATGTTATCTTGCACTGAGAACTGTCTTTAAATAATTATAGAATCATAGACATTAGAAATGTATAGGATCTTTTAGATCATGCAGTCTGTTTTCTTGCCGATGCAATCTTGTTCCCAGGAGTAAACCGTTTCTAGTATTTTGTCAAATTTAGTTTTAAAGTCCCAGGTGACATTGTTGACTTGCCTCATACTTTTCATTGTTGATCAATTTTTCTTGATAGACCTAACTTTCTCTCTTCTAATTTCATCCCATTACTTCTGCTTATATTTCTATGTATAACATGGAATAATTCTGTTCCCTTCTAGGATATTAATTCAGCAAAACTACTTAAGCACATAGTTAACTTTAGGCACATGCTTAAAATCACCTCTATTCAGCAAAGCAGTTAAGCACATACTTAAGTCCCATTGAAGTCGATAGGATGTCAGTGTGTACTTACATGCTTTGTTAAATAGGGATGGTCTTAAGCATGTTTTAAAGTTAAGAATGTCTCAAAGTGGTTTTCCTGAGTTGGGGCCTTAGTGTTTAGATCTTTCATTATTTGTGGATAGTGATGTTTTTCTGTCTCCTTCTTGCTCTTAGCTATTGCTTAGCCAATGTATAGTATGTATCTGGTTCTTTTAATTTTTCCTCATAAATTAATCCCTCTAGCTCTATCATCAATTGTGTAGCTTTTTTATACTTATTCCAATTTTTTTTCTATTAACGTGGTGTCCGGAACAGAACACAATAATCTACGTGTGGTTGCAGTGGACTTTTATCTGCCTGCTCTGATGTGATGCCTTAGTGTATGCAGGGATCTGAAAATCACATTGGTCCATTTTTTGCAGCCATGTAGCAATACATGAGTTTGTATATTTTGCAGGCTACTATCAACCTTCGTTCTTCTTTTCGTAATTATTCCTATTTATTTCACTTTAGGTGTGCATGTGCACCTCAGATGAGAGATTTTTGGTAGTGGTATCTGCATGGTCCGTGCTACCTGTGCTCTGTACACCCGCTTGCTCTTATCTGAGGGCAGGGCAGACCTGCTGCTGCTCCAGTTCTTTCTCAGCTGCCCACTGCCTGAAAGGGAACTCTGGAGTGTCCATGGATTAGTGTACCTCTAGTCTTAGCCAGCTGTCTTTGCCTAAATCTTTTATTTTTATGGTATTTTTTATTAAATTTATTTTATTTTTGAACTTACCTGCACACTTTTTGTGGGGTTTTTTTTTTCAGAGGGTCTCCTCATTTTTTTGAGGTCAGGCTTCTCACCTCACTTAGAGCCTTTTTCTTTGTTTGAGGTATGTTGTTTTTTTTTTTTTTTCTTGATGATTATGCCCCAAACCCTTGGTCTTAAATGCTGCCTGACCCATAGAAGGTATTTACCCCTCAACAACATTCATTCCAGTTGTCTCCAATATCTGGGGGAGATAAATATCCCATCAATGTGCAAGATCTGCATTGGATTTGGAGGCAAATCCAGGAAACTGAAGGAGGACAGACTTAAGTTGCTCCTCATGGAGCATTCTTTGAGACCCTCCTCCAACTTGGGGCCTGACTGCCCTGTCTGTTCAGCAGCTTTGACTAGTCTAGAGGACACCTTCAACTTCCATCGCTCCACTCTAGGGGGCAAGAACCATGGGGCATCTCCAGAGAGTAGCTCAGAGTCCTCAAAAAAGATGAGACATAAGCCTCCTGATAGAGAGGCTTTGAAGAAAAGGGATAAATCGCCTCAGAAATCTGTTAGCAAGGAGACATTGTATCCTGGTATGGATATAGTTGAGGATTCAAGATCCTCCTGTACTGAGCTTCCTGCACTGACTAAGAAGACTTTTAGTGCTCCCTGCTCTGAAAAGTCTCTTGGTGTGCAGCTTCATCCGGTACTTATGGTAATATATGGCACTGAACCAGCCATGCAGTGCCAGCCAGTACAGAGGAAGACACCTCTTCTGACTTGGATATGTCCATTCAGGATTCCATCATCTTCCCATTCAGACCTCCTCCCCAGAAGTCTATTTTGAAAAGAGGGTCAGCAGGAACCAGACACATGCGAGTCCCTGAACAGCCTCCTTGCTATAACCTCTTTTGGGGTTCATTGCCCTTCCCCTATGCCCTACCTCAGTGTCCCTTCTGCAGTCTTGGGCCGCATATGGAGACCAGTATTATAAGAGCACACTCTCTGAGGAAGGACCACCAGGAGAGAGAGCCACTTGTTCCTCGGGACGCCCCTCATCTCTACCCTTCTCAGGAGGAACCAAGAACTGTGGGCTGATAGAAAGGCAACACCACCCACTAATGAGTCCTCTTCCTCACCGGATGAAGCTGTAATGCCTCCTCCACATTCCTATGCAGACGACTTCAAACTTTTCCAAGACTTCATGTAAAGAATATTTGAGTCTCTGCAAATCCTTCTGGAAGAGGTACAGGAGTCACAGCATAGCCTGGTGAAAATCCTTCATACCACCTCCTAGGGCAGGATGGCCTTGTCAATAAATGACGACTTGCTAGAGCCATCAAGAACAGTGTGTTAAACACCTGCCTCTGTCCCACCCACTTGGAAAAGAATGGACAAGAAATATTCACTCCAGTGGCACAGAATACCTATTTGACTATCCTGAATTGATTGGTGGTTGATACTATGAATGAAACAAACAGCATGATTTCAGGTCCACATGATAAAGAGTATAAGCGGCTGGACCTTTTCAGTCATAAAAGTTATTCCTCAGCCTTATTACAATTTAGGGTAGCAAATTACCAAGATGTAATTGCTCAATATAATTACACAAACTATAATAAATTTCACTCATTTTATTGAATATCTTCCACAATAACAAAGAGACCGGTTCCAGGCACTCATCGCTGAAGGACAACTAGTTGCCAAGGCCTCATTACCTTCTCTCGTCTGTGGCAGTTTCAAATATATAAAGGGCCATAGAACCACCCAAGAAAAGACCTAGGTTCCACCTCTGTGGTTGCCCAGCTACCAACCTGCATCAAACCACCATTTTGATATATTGGTTGAGAGCCACAAGTCACTTCATTATCTGGCTCTTGCACTCCACCACCTTTCTACTTCCCATTTCCTGCCTTATGGGGACCATCTTTCCGATTTCATGCACCCATGGGAATGAATCACTTTGAACTGGTGGGTGGTAGAAGTTGTCACATCAGGCTATACCATTCATTTCAACTCCATCCCTCCTCTCTACCCACCCTTACTGGAAAAAGACTCTACTCCAAATACTGCCTGGTGCCCAAGAAGAAGGCGGGATGGGCATTTAAGTGCTCTACTGCCCTAAGAGTATTCATGAAGTCTCTGTCAGTGGTGGCTGTCCAGCTGAATAGTTAGGAGTGATCGTCTTTCCTTACCAAATGATGGACTCCTCAAAGATGGATCTTACAATGAGGTACAATCAGCAGTTGAAAAGGCCCTACCTCTTTTCAACACACTGGGACTAACACTCAGCAGAGAAAAATCCACTTTGATACCTACCCAATGTATTGAGTTAATTGGGGCCACCCTGAACTCCTAGACCACCAGGACACACGTACTATCAGACAGATTTGTCACAATGTCCAATCTCATTTCCGAACTTCAGTTAAGTCCTCAAAAAACAGCGAGAACCTGTGTTCAGTTGTTGGATCACATGGCAGACTGCACATTTGTGACACTTTACACCTGATTACATTCCTGATGCCTTCAGGATGGGCTCAGAACCATCTATGCCTGAAAAATATTACCTAAACAAACTGGTATTTATTCTACAGAAAGTCCTCGAGTCCTCATGTGCCTTTTCTCCCCAAGATCTCCTCGGACTTCCACATTCACCAGGACATTCAGTAACTCATCTTCTACTCTAAACTGCACAACTCTAGGAAAGAAACCAGTGTGCAATTCCTGGATGTTAGGAGGGCACTAGTGTTCTGCCTAGAAAGAACATGCTTTTTGTGTCCTTCACAGACTTAATGAGTAGAACCCCTGTTTCTGCCCAAAGACAATCCAGGAGGGCACTAGTATTCTACCTAGAAAGAACTAGACCCTTCAGAGTTTCTCCTAGGCTCTTTGTATCTTTCACAGACAAAATTAGTGGAACCCCATTTCTGCCCAAAATGGGCTTTGGGATGCATTTTGGCCTGTAGCAAACTCTCAAAAGTGCATCCTCCCTATAGGGTGACAACCCATTTCACTAGGGCACTATCCACCTCAGTTGCTTTGGGCAAGAATGTCCCCATCATAGATATCTGTAAACCTGTCACCTACTCATC